TATTTGCAAGACTCCTCCCTACCATCAAGTTCTGATTTCACCCTCGACCACTGACCAGGCATGTGTTCAACTAAAAGATAAGACAACCCTTTATTAATCCCACAGAGAGGAACATTTCAATGTTACAGCAGCAAAGATTGCAAACATTTAAGGAATGAAGTGTAATAATAAAAACAAACCAAAAATATAGACTAGTTCTAAAAAATTTAATTATTGCACATGTCAGTGGTGTTGCAGTTTTTAGACGAATAGAAATACTGATGTTGTTACTGCACAGCCTGTACAAAAGCAGAAAGACTGAAGGAAATGTCATGAATTCTAGAGTATGTGGAAACATAGATATTGTACACGGGTTTAAAAGGGCCAAATATAAATTTCTATAAAAGGATCAGAAGTGGTGAGTATCAGAGAATCCTGGTGGCTTTGGGGGTTAAAGACTCTGATCAGGTCAGGATGGAGATCTCTGTTGCACATCTGGATGCTGATAAGTTCCTAAACCTCTCTCCTCAGGAGCTTCCTCGCTTCAAGGAGCTGATCTTTGAGGACTTCTCCCGTTTTCTGCTGGTGGAAAACATGTTTGAGGAGGTGGTGCTGCAGTCGGTCACCAAAGACATAATGATGGGTGAGGGCCAGGAAACGCCAAGATTTATAAATTGTCGCCATGGTGATGGTAGTAGTACATTAACTAGAGTACTTCCGAGTTTAACGCTTGTTTTTTTCTTTCCAGCTGTGAAGGAGGCAGCTGTGCAGAGGAGACACAACCTCTACAGGGACAGCATCATCCTGACCAACAGCGACCCCAACCTGCACCTGCTCGGGGAAACACCCGGCGTGGACTGGGCGTCCAAATTCGGTGGCGACGAGGCGGACGGCTCTGTGGAGGTTGAGGAAAGGGGTTCTGGGAGGAGACGCAAGCAGGTGGTGTCCATGATCCAGCTGGACGGGGTTCCTCTGCCCTACGAGTCCTGCCTGGAGGTCCCAGGGGTGGAGCTCATCCCCGAGGAGGACCCCGAGGTCTGCAAAGAGGAGGACGGAGACGACGAAGAGGAGGAGGAGCTCGGCCAACATGAGAATCCAAAGTCTCCCGATAGTGTCAATGAAATCAGGGACCTGATCAACCCGGTGGTGGAGGTGGTGCTGCCGGTGGTGGTGGAGGAGAAGCAGAGCGACGAGACCAACGGGCCGGAGGAAACCAGCGGCACCATCGTCATGGATGACGGGCTGCAGGAAGAGGTGACCCACGTGACCACGGTGGTGGAGGACCGACCCAGGAAGTCGGTGCGAGACAAGTCGTCCCCGCAGTCGATCCTGAAGGAGCTGGTGGGAGGCAAGAAGCAGGAGGCCGATAAGGAGGAGGCGGCCATCAAGAACGCCATCGAGGAAATAGAGATCGCAGTTCAGGAAGACGACGGCGAACGGATCGCCGAGGCCTCCACAGTGGAATCGGATCGCGATTCCTCACCGCCGCCGGTTCCAGACTCACGCTCGCGAGAAGACAGCGGCTTCCAGTCGCCGACCAATGAGGGGCTGGACGAAGGCGAGCCTCAGCCAATCACAAACGGTCTGAACGGAGAGGACAAAGTCATCGATCCTGCAGAAGTGGAAGTGATTGTAGCGTGAGAAGACAATGCTCCGGACGCTCACTCCGAAACTGGAGAAAACCGCAGAGAGGAAACAGAAGCGTTTGCGTCACATTTATTGAAAGAGAATGAAAAATGTTGTATTTAAGGGTCAAAACGTGCCGTTTCTTCACTCTTGTTGTTATTGCACTCTCTAAACCGACACTCTCATACTCCCCTCGAGTCTTTCTGGAGACATTCCGTATCTTGTGGTGATTGGTTCGCTCTGTGCAGCTTATTTTCTGTATATTTTGACAATGAAATCAGCATATCTGATTTGGCCACAAGCTGAGGGTTCTAACAATGATAATAAACTCTTCTTAAAAAAACTTCCGCAATCGGGGAGAAACACCAAACAACTAACTCTAATTCATTCCTGTTGTCAGACTCACATTTATATGGCCCACATAGGTTGTCTTTAGTTCTGCAGTTGTCTAATGATCACAGCCTCTACCTGGGCAGCAGGGGGCGCTACAGCTACACTTTCTGTATTTCTATGTTCCTTTTATCTCCACTTAAAATACTATTTTTGTAAAATGTAATTTTATAAACATGTACTTTGTTTACTTTGTAAGCATTTCTTTGATGTGCAAATGGCCTTCATGTTTCAACGTGTTTTAGTTCCCAACAGTCAGACAATGATGAATACATCCAGTGATTTTAAAAAGCAACATGTCTAGTTTTTATATCTGTTGGGGGAAAAGTTTCTGGTTTCTTGCGTCTCTGCCTGCAGGTTTAGAGATGACCAAGACACAGTAATGGCTCGATTACTTCACTTACATACTGTTTTCTTCAGCTTCCTTGTAAGTACACTGAATCGAATATGACAATGACTCTATTTAAAACCAATCTTATTTAATTAAATGTTTCTAATTGGATTTAAAGGGTCAGTATCAGGATGTACAGATATGGGATCGATATTATCCGTATTAACGTCATTTGTTTGTATTTGGGGCGACAAACCCACTGTAAGGGAGCGTACGTTTTTACATTTAATTCAGCATTCTTTAGCTGTTTAGTAGCTCTACAGTGCAGTGACGTATATTTGTGACATTTGAGAGGTTTCCTGGAAAGAACTACTTAATTTGGTACTAAATACAGTAAAGTTTTGTGTTGAATTGTGTGCCGGCTGTTGATAAAAGTTGCTCACCTGCTATGCACTAATTAAAACATTTTAAAGGTTACACTAGCAAGTAATTCACTTTTTCTTTATTTTTTTTGGGGCAGTGTAAAAGTTTTAAACGTAGACTAGCAACAGAAATCAGAAATGTGCAATCACTGCTTTACACTGTTGAGCCTGTCTCATGATTTCTGACTCAAATAAGGAAACTTTGAGAAGCATTGGGGTTAAATTATGTTCGGACAAGAGAACAGGATGAACATTTTTAGGTGAATAACATACACACATCTTAATTTCGATTATCAAAAAAAGTCCTTTCCTGTAAAATAAACGAAGTTTTATCACCTTTTTTGTTATCAGCACTACAGACTCAAGATTGTTGAGCTTTTCGGTCACTTTTGTGTCGTCTGGAGTCAACAAATCAAGCTGCATTTTAACGGTAAATGCTTTCTTGTCCACTGTATTTACGGCACATTAGAGCTACATCTAAGATCCATTCCCACCGTCTCCTGTTTATTTATTATAAAACCTCTGAGGTGTCTAACATCCAGGTGAGAACACCTTCTCTTTGTTGGTATGTATAGATTTTTTTGTCTTCTTTAAATATATATACATACATATCAAAACGGATGAATAAAAACGTTTCAAAATTTCTTTATTATTTATTTTTTCTTTACAAACAAGCCTTTCAAAGTTTTTATTCAATGGCAAAAATGTCATCGTGTGCAACAGTAACCCATGTTCAGTGATCGTTCAGTTTGCTTGAGTAAGTTATAAAAATAGTGAAATATGCTCATATTTTAACCCAAAACACACGTCGAAGGTCGGCTTTAAGGCACGGTTTGTTCGTTATTGGTTCGTGGTTTGCCACAGAACCACATGACCCACTTCACTCCCGCTGTCCTCTGATAAACTCATGAAACTGACCCATCTGAGGAGTTGACAAGCTGAAGTCACATGAGTCACTTCCTCAAACGAACCGTCTCATGACTCCTGCCTGCAAATCCTCACATCCAGTGTCAGTACGTTTTTAGATTTGACTTCAAAACACTGTAACAACATTCATTAATCATTAGTTTTTGTTAGTTCTGCTCACAACACGCAGTCTCCAGATGAGTTATAAAGTTACAGTCAAAGTGTCTTTTTATGGAAAAACTCATTTTGAATCACGTATAGTGTCAAAACATCCTTTGAATTATTTAGAGGACTGCTGTAACAACACAAGTCTGTCAGAGTAGTGCATTAAACATCAAGCTACACGGAGAGGATCAAGCTCTGGAGGACTTCCCGTCTCTGGGTTTTGTGGTACCTCTGCTGAAGACAATGCAACTGAATCTGTTCTTTGACTCTATTGTTCACTTCTTTTTGTACCATAATTATTAATTAATGACATTTAGATGAGCAGCATTCCTTCAACTGGAGGTTAAAAACCGTTAAGTCACTCAGATGCTTTAGAACTGCTGCACGTTACGTCTCCTGACCACCAACAAATTGGTGTCATTTTCATTTCCAGTTTAAATGTTTTTAACAAAATCCAGTGACTAAAGAAAGAAAAAAAAATCATTCTTCAGCATACAATGAATCCCCCTTTTGTGCAAACCCAGCAGAACAACACAGAGGTTACTTAGTGAAGTGGTTTCCCATTTAGCATCCAAAACACTTGATCCTTTCAGCTCAGGAGACAAAAACAGAGTCTTTATGTCCGCACTGTCCATACCGTCACACCCGACCCAGGAGAGGAAACGAGATGAAGTAACCGAGGACGGAGCCCGCGACCACCCCGATGAAGATCCAGGTGTTGTAGGACATGACGCACAGCATCAGCATGTAGCCCAGAGACACCTGCAGGATGTGGAGGACCGTCTGGATGATATGCAGCAACCAGCTGGAGGGGAGGAAGCAGAGGAGCAGTTAGAGGAAAACGTCAGTTTATCCACTCAGATAAATACTGAAGGTTCATTTTGCCAAGATGGTACGGAGTCTAGTAACCACAGAGTTATGTTATATATCAGAGTTATTACGTCTCAGATCATCAGGGACCTTCTGCTCGACCAACTTTTATTTGCTTGAAACTTTTTAATCAGGATATTTAAAGTGGTATCTTTAAATATTTAGATTGATATATCACAGACTTTCTGAGATATTCTTTCTACAAATTGAAGAAACTATTGAAGATAAAAGCCTGAAATATTTACTGTTAATTCTCATGTCATTAACTCAGAATTTGCAAAATCGGAAAAGTAAATAGTGAACAGTCTTCGATTGAGAGAGAGTTTAAATATGAAAAAAAAAAAAAAAAGTTGTCATTAGAAGTCTGATCTTTGAGCCCAAATTAACAAAAACACTGATAATACAGAAGTCAATTAGTGCTATTTTCTGAACCACGCGTCGCTGCAGGTGATAATAATAAAAAACAAGATATATAGAATACTTTTTTAATATGAAATACTCGATCATGAAAGTGAAAAAAAAAAGTTATTTCAGTTGAATTTTCGAGACAAGTTGTACCACAAAAATTTAAGTTTTGGTTGACAGTCTAATCCAAGTAGTTCCGGGAGTTCTGGAGTTTCAGAGTAGTTTTTAAATATAACTTTACTCTCCTTGTTCAATATTCCAGATTCTGAATCAATGGTAGGATGAGAAATAAAATCCTGATTTTTTCTGTGTTATGTTTAATATTTCCTGAGATATTGTCATTCAAGTTGAGTCTCAACTTTTAAATGTGTGAAAAAAATGAAAAAATGTGGTGGACATGAGCTGACAGAACATTTAAAAAGTTTATTATCTGGTAAATGTGTTTATATATCAGGCTGAAATTATACAAACATCTTAATAAATATCCATGTTTTATTTCATATAAAGTTTGTGTAAATGAGACATGGTCGAGCAAAAACTGTTTCAAAATTTTGTTGTTTTGGGTGGGAGTTTTTTTTTTTGGGTTTTCAACCATTAATGCAAGGACGGGAAACATTTTGGCAATGTAACAGAAACAGGAGTCGAACGCCACTCAGTAAGAACAGATAAACACAAAACCACCCTCAAACCAAAGGTCAAACCTTTAACACTCAGAGAAATCAATAAACTCTGCGTGTTTGATTAAATATACACCAAAGTGATCGATTTAAGGTGAAGAAAACATTAAGAATTTAACTGCTTTTAGGATTTCAAGTTGATTTTCTGTCTTTTGGGCTGCACCAATTACCTGACAAGGGTCGACATTTAAAGTGTTTATCTTAGATTACATTACTTGTATTTTGCAGTAAAGAGTAATCCTCACACCCCTTATTATAAATGACTGAGACACAGGTGAGTGAACGGACCTGTTCCTGGTGCTGGCGGCAGGAGGACGAGGCTCTATGGGGGTCAGGGAGGACTCGGAGGGGCTGCTCTCCAGCACCGAGCCGTTGTCGGTGCGGCAGGCTGGAGGGGAGGCGTACTGAGAGGGAGGCTGGGAAAGCTTGGAGCCGTTCCCCAGCCAAACCCTCCACACTTTGAGCACCTCGTAGAAGACCGTCAGCAGGAAGACCACGATCACCGACAGCACCATCCCTGGAGACATGAAAACAACACACACACTATTAATGTAATGGAAATTTCTATATGTTATACATTGTTCCAGCAAAAGACCTTTCATCTGTTCACCACAACGACCTCGCTGCTCGTGCATGTCTTAGAAGAACAAGAAGTGTTGTAAATCTGAATGCACGTCTCATAAAGTAGACGCACACTACGTCTCACCATGTCTCTCTTTGTGACTTGTGGGTATTTTCATCTTAACTGCAATTGCATCCGCACACCTGCAGTCAAGAGTTCGCTCTCCACAGCTGCAGACAAGATGAAACAATCTACTCAAACATCTATCCTAATTTGCATATTCAACAAGACCGCGCCTCTGCTGTATAACAGTAACACACTGCCTGTACTCATGTGTACTCTGCTGCAGACTGCTTGCACTCTGTATGACCTGTACCTTCAAAGCTCTGAATAAAATCAGACAAAGGCAGCTCAGACTTCTGGACGTTATTTAGATCATAGTAGAATTTCCATAACATTAACTCACAGCAAAACTCGGTGTCACAAAATCTCTACGTTTTTTTGAACTTGATATTTTGGAAAAGCTGCTTTCTTTCACAGTGAGATGGAAAGATTGATTCAACTCTCAAGTTACTTCAGTAAACATGAGGAGGACAGAGCAGAAGGCGAGTTCACAAACACTGGAAGCAGGAGGACACGATCAGTCTGGAAATAGAGCCATTCTGTAATGTGGCTTTAGACAGGAAACATTTGCTGTATTTAAAGCAACACTCCATTCAGATTTGTAGCTTTTTCTTAAAGGTCGGTAGGTTCAGCCAGCTTGGATTCACAACAATCACAGTGGAGACTATTGACCAGCTTATCACAAACAGATTGTTTCTGCATGCAGAAGCATCTACAGACAAATAAAACACAGTGCAGTGCAGGGTTGGGTATCACGACTCGATTAGAGCTGCCATAATTAATAAAGGAGTTGTCAGAAGTTACATTCAACAATAACTGAAACATTTATCAGGTTCATAAATCTGTTTGGACAATAAAAAAAAAGAAATTAATTCTTCTATAATATTATCTGTATATAAACAGGGAAACAGACAGCTTCAAAGGGAGGGACTCACATGCACACACCAGCTGCCAAGAACACAGAAGGTTGGATTACATCACACACAGAAGGGAAGTAAACAGCTTTCTCAGCTGTTAATCCTTATGACCAACAGTCGATGAATTAATAACACAAAATGACTCAAGGAACATTACTCCTGATTAACTGCGCTGAACGCATTCATCTGACACACGGCGATCCAACAACTCACGTCATGGGATGTGCGCTGCTCAGTTAACACAGTCACAGCACACTTCAGCTCATCCACATAAATCATCTGTCAAGTAAAAAAAACAACAACAACACAGTCTCTAATGTCACTTGTTAAGCTCTAACTTGGTATTAAGTGACCTTTGGGTGCCGACAAGAAAGCGACTAAGTGTAGCGACTTCCCAAAATGTCCAACTATTCCTTCTCAGTATTCTTGTGCATCTGATAGAAATGGACTCACTAAAAGTCTGCAGTCTTCCTAGTTTGTGGAAAATCTCAGCAACAGAAATTACTACATGCAGGCTTAAGACTAAAGCATTCAGCAGTTGTTTCTGAATTCTGCCACAACCTCCTTTCCTACAGAAGTCCACACAGGACTCCAGACTAACTTTTTTACCGGTGTGACCAACTGTTTCATTTGTTCGCACTTCCCACCATGTCACAGGCAAAGCATATGACTTGCTGAACCTTTTGTCATTGATAGACGCTACAATTTACTGATGTTCTTTGAACGCCCCACATTACAGGCTGCTGTAGCTGCTGTTGGTGGCTGCGGTGCTCATACTGGTGTGTGACCAAAAATGGCTTTAAAAAGAGTAAACTAGGGCGTTCTAATGTCACATCGGTCCGAGATGAAACCGAGTGATTTTTTTTCTCATTCGGTCTTTTCTATGAGCGTACGTAGGTGCGTTCCGTTTTTCACGAGGTGATTGCATTTCTAAGCTTAAATACCGCAGTACACTGAAGTTATAAAAGTACTGTTTTCCACTACTGTGGTGCTGTTGGTGGGACACAATTGTACCGGCTTTCAGGGTGCAACAGTTTGTGCAGAACTTCCGTGTGTCCCGGACCAGAGATGTCCTGCAGAGAAACGACACAAATCACCGCTTGTGTGTCCCATTCGTTCATCGGTCTCTGTGGTCACGATAACCCATAGACTGTATAAAAGATGGACGTAGAAACCGGCTCTGAAAAATGAAGCCAACCCAGAAGTGTCAAAAACCTGCAATATCACTACGTCCGCTAGCTGCTGGCTCCAAAAAGCCCTGGCTCCCATAGACTTGAATTGGAAAAGAAGTGATCACAGATCATGAAATACTGCATTCCTGCAGCTCAGGATTTTTTTAAAATTAGTTTTCATGGTCAAATCCAGAGATCAGGTGGCCAATCTGAAAATAAATCAATAGTAAATTTTTAAAAAAATGATCAACATTTCGCGGGGCGAGGGGCGTGGCTGGCTTGATTGACAGGCGGCAGCGACCATACAGACGAAGCGAGCAGAAGGCGGTAAATGTGGGCGGGCAGAGAGGGCCCGCCTCTCAATCCGTCTGACCAATCGCTGCTCCTATGGCTCCACCCCCTCCCACGATTTTTGCGTCACTGGCTCCAAAAATCCAAGATGTCAACCAGGAAGTAGCAAAACCCTGGCTTCATTTTCTCAGTGCAGAAACCAACGGGTGACGTCACGGTAGCTACGTCCATCTTTTATGCAGTCTATGCGATAACTCCGCCCCCAGTCCCTGATGTACTGGTGCTTAGCTCTGGCCTAGCGAAGAGTTGGTGCTTGCTAAGCACCAGTTTTGAGAGCTTGGAGCCGGAGCTTAGGCGGTGGAAACACAAAGTCAGGCACTAGCACGAAACTAGCACTGGAACCGCTTTGGTGGAAAAGGGGTAACAGTGTCTGAGCCTCTGACACCCACCAGCTCCCTCTACCTTCAGCCTTGTAACGTCTGGTGTTGTGTTGAGGCTGTTGTGTTGTATTTGCATGGCACAGAGTTAAAAACCTGGGTCAGTGCTGAAGTCTTCCACCCACATCGTAAGGTGATGTTGACAGCCATTGTTCTCTTTTTTTAAATGAAACTACTGGCCGGTAGGCATTACACACCCCTGGAGACACTGTTATGGTGGCCCTTTACTTGCTAAACTCCCACAATGCTCTCTGCTTGCCAACACAGGACTGTTGGTTGTCCCAGTGATCACCTCCTCGGGTTGCTACACTGATCACAGTAATAGACCCTAACCTAACCCTAACCCTGGTGGTGTAACCAGGTACTACAGCCGATCGACAATACAGTTTTTTACACGCATGTCTTTCGTCTTCTGCCTCATCAGTTAATATACTTTTAATCAGTTCAACTATTACCAGCAATCAATCAACTGACGATTAACCATTAACATCCCTAACAGAGAGGATGACACTTACCTGTCTGTTAAGGACAGCATTACTCCACTTTATCTTTACAAAGGAAATAGTTACAAAACGATATATTAAATTTTAAAATCTTGCATCATTAACCAGTCTTTATCACAACATTTTTGCTCATTATTGTTAAAAAAAAACAACAACAAAACAACAACAACAAAAAAACATACTAATGGAGGACTTCTTGAACCCTTCATAACACAACATTGGTGGTAGCCTCAAACTCCATTATTGGTCAGGATCTACTGTAGAACTGAACACACTGACTGGTGAAAATTCATTGATTTTTACTATAACTGCTGTGAATCCAGCTACAGTCACCTTTCAGAGCCACCTCTCCATCTTACAGGCGACAAACACATCATTAGTTGGACATTATACATCATGTTTATATGACAGTAATCAATACAGCACTACAGAACGCTTTAACCAGACGAACTGGTTTTAACAAGTCATCACTGCTATGTGTTATCTTAAGAACACTGTTCTGGCCTGGAGGCACAGTTTAACACTCTATAGCTCACCTGCAGGTCCGTGCACATCCCAGAAGTCAAACAGCAGTGTCACGCTGCTCGACACCCCAAAGGTCATCTAAAGAAAAACAAGGAAAGATTTATAATCACCAAAGAACACAGTGTGCAGTCCACTGGTTAACTCCAGGACCAGTCACCCAGAACTTACTGCTCTGTAAACTATCCTCCCCACTTTTTTCTTTTGCAACATATTTTCTTACCCATTTGCAACCTTTACTTTCTTTTTTACTTTTTCTTACAAAGCCCAAAACTCTCCCCTATTCTAAAAAAATCACTATCATATTTTTATCTTTCAGCATTTTATTCTGAAATGTACATTTTAGTGATGAGATTGACAGAAACCTAATAAACGTGGGAGAAGCAGCACTCGTCTTTATACTCTGAGGATTCAGTGTTATCTCTGTATTCTTTTATGCCTTGCTTGAATCCTCCTTTGTTCCAACTAATAGTTTTTGGATGCCTTGAACGCAAAAAGAATTTAATTTACGTTGTTCCCAACACATATCTATTCAGCCGATCGTCCCCTACAATTACAGGAAATATTGTCCCACAAAAGCAGACTTTGTTCGGCGCTGCTGCCGTGGACGTGTGACTGACAGAGGAATGCACTGTTAGAGTCTGATTCCTGCTAATTCACCACCTGTCCTGGCATGAGAGTCTCTCACCAGCTCAACAACCGGTCACAGTCTAAATGAGACCCGCTAAGTCCAACTGTTACAGCTCTCAAGCCTCTGATACGCCACTGTGCATAAAATATGGATGTTTTCCGTTCTAGTTGTGTCAAACTCAAAGCATGATAGCTGCTCTGGTGGTTTCAAGGTTGTAGGAATCGCATTATCTTTAAAAGGAGACCATTTTAATCTTTAATCCATGTTTTTTTCTGCATGTAATGTCACTGTAACCTACCCAGCTGAGGGCTGAAATCAGTGAATTTAGCACAGAGTAATGCAAGTTGGCTTTTCTTTTGCAAATCTAGTGTTCGTTGCTGATGTGGGACAGTAACATCATTACAATGAAATCAAGTGAATACACAAGTTAACAGTTCACTCACGTGACCTAAACTGCTTAATTTAAGGTGAAATCAAGAAAGTGCACCTGAACATGAATCTCTTATGTAAAGCTAGCTGCACACTTAGTTTAGCCCTGAAGTCAGTCTGTAAATCTTAATGGATGATGAATGTGGTCTGAGTTCTAATTCTATTGTTCATTGTTAGCTTTCTTTTCCAAAATAGAAGTTTTTTAAAGAACCTGTCTGACCACTAATCTCTTTCAGTGATGTCAACACGTTCGCAAATCTCAGCGATTAACCTGCTGAGTGAATTGCTATTCATAGAAATGATGACCGAATGCACAAACACAGGGTCCAGTTTCTTATAAACTGAATTAAGGAAAAATACGACCACCAGAAAGAGGAAGAACTGGTTCTTTAGCATAAAGAGAATTATGACCATCATATCCACTTTTAAAGTTGTATCGGTTCCACTAAAATTCAGTTCTTCTCGTGTCAAACGTTTCTTACAGAAGAGGTGGCTCATGAACAGTTTGAACAGTAAAATATGGTAAAAGGCTGAGACGAAAGAAGTTTACAAACGGTGCAGAAGGACTCTAACAGTGCAAAAGAAGCCGAAAACATTACAGAGAAAGTCAAACACAGACAACTTGAGTCAACAGTGAGGCCAGCCAAGGTGACCATTGTGAGCTTATCTTATAAACCCCTTGAGGAAACAAGATTTTTTTTTCAAACCAGGTGAATGTTGCAACTGCAAACAATGATGGCTGTACCTGTACGTCTGCAGGTTCACAGTCACACAGAGCATTTCCTGAGCACAACATAATGTTCCAGAGGCTTTTCTTCTAACGTAACAAGATTAAAGTTTTATTCAGATGTTATTTCAACCACAAAATATAAGAAATAAGGTGAAACACAGTTTTTTGAGAAAAACCCCAAAACATTAATGTTCTCATTTTGCCTGCAAACAAAGTGAATAAAGCTGCAGCACATACACATTCATACCAAATGTCATCTACATGATTAGACAAAGTATGTGACCCATTACAACAAAAATCACATTTAGTTAATTTCATTTCTGTGGGAGTGATTTGTGGCTGTGTGTTGCTTCACAATTCACTGCAAGCTTGAAAACTCAGAAGCCTACACCCAACAAAAACAACAGCTCAGACACAATTCTATCTGTAGAGAGACGATAACATTCAGTTTCTGTATGTTCACCAATTATTGGAAGGGTTGTACTGGACTCAAATGTATAGAAATGTGTTTCTACGATACCATACACCTGAATTAATCCCACAGAGGGGAAATTTGCGGTGTTAGGACAAAGTGACAACATTTAAGAAACATCAGTAGAAAAGTGATAAACAAAAACGTACACACAAGTACTTATTCTTCCATATGTGGATATTCAGATTGTGAAAAGTTCCCTGGATGTGGCAAATAACTACATTGCACTGATTTTTTTCACTAGCACAAATACTCACTTGTCTTTCTGGAAACAGGTTGAGCAAACCATTCAAGCACTTATTATGCAAACTGTTGGAAAAACTATACTTTTTTTCCTTTCTGTGACAAATTAAAGCTAAAAAAAAAAAAGAGTTATAAGGGCTGTTATTTGAAGTGGTAACTCCTAAACTTGCTAAAGTTAAGTCAGCCAGCCGCTTTCAGACACCTGCAGTTTGTTAAAATGAACCCAAAGCTTTTTTTTTTTTCCCTTAGGCTGTGACAAGTCATCCATCAACTCTAACATGGGGACCCTGAAGGCACCATTTAAATGGGTCAGAAACTAATTAATCCCAGTTGTACCTCTCTGGGTTTATTATTATCAGCTCATGCACATCACAGGTTTTGCACACATCTACTGATTTGATTCAGTGGAGAAACACTTCAAATGCTAAATAACTTGTGCAGGTGACATGAATAAAGTAGCTCCACGACACAACAAACACACAACTTACGGACATCATGGTGAACTTGGTGAATGGACGCTAGTGCCTCAGTTTCAGGGGTTGTTGAATCCCATCGCAGACGACTCTCGGTCCGGGTCACAGCGGTTGTTTCGGTGCAGTCAGATACGAGCCATTAATCGACCGGAGGAGCAGCCGGTGACCAACTGCTCAGCCGGAGCAGCGGAATGAGGCTAGCTACGGTACCTCGTGACAATACACAGAGGGCTGATGGTTAATGGAGTTCTTCGACAACTACAAAAACAACCGGCCGCTACGACGAAGCAGTCAAAAGAGTTGTTTAAATGTCATTCAGGTCGTCAGGAAAAAAACAAATCTGACCGTCGATGTCGAACAAAAGTGTCACAACTCATAACAGTTAGCAAAAATAACCAACAATTAGCGAGCTAACTGTATGTAGCCGTTTAACAATTTCTCAAGAATGCGCATGCGTGAATTGCCGTTTGTTTATTGGAGGGCTTGGGTCACATGACAGACGGAGGTTGCCGAACGCATTCGTCGAACTTCGGAAACTAATGGCGCCGAGTAGAAACTACGAAATTGAATAAAATAAAACAAAATTGAATTAATACACATAAAATACGAGTAAAATGTAAATAATAATAATAATGATAATAATAACAACAATAATAATAATAACAATAAATATTGCTTGTTTAAACAGTAAAGAAATTGACTGTTTTAAAATTAAAATACATTTTTTAATATATTTTAATTTAACAAAATAAAATAACATAAAATAAAACAAAAACACTTGCTCATAGGAGGTCCAAGGAATCTTCTTAAATTCAGTTCACAATTAGTCAAGTTAATCAGCTTGTCTTATTTTTAAATGTATTCGTGTAAGGTAAAGCTGTGTTTTAAGCGTTTTTTTTGTAGTGTTTCAGTTCGTATAATGTAAACTATACATGTAAATTCACAAATTAAATAACATTCTAGGGCCTTGACTCTGAAACTACTGATAAAGCTTAAAAAGTGAGGAAGCATGGCAAAATAAAATAAAAATAAAGTTAGTCTAAAAAGCTTGTCAGCTTACAGTAAAGTTCTGTTTGAAATAATTTTTGAAGGGTTTCAGTCCTCAGTACGTAAATTACATGGGCAAATTCATGCCATAAATAATACTATAGGATCTTAACCCTGAAATCAATGATGAAGCTTAAACAGTGAAGAAAGTAACAGACGATAGACAGATAGAAATGTTTGCTCTTACGTAAAGCACTGAACTCTACCAATAAAAACAACAGAGACACATGTCATATAGTTTTATTTTGATATCGTACAGTACAACTTCGATTCTGCACTGTAAGTTGAAATATTACATGTACTGGCTGAGGTGCTACTATTCGTATATGCATACCGCACCTGTAAACAGTTCACAAGTAGAAAAATACAAAACCAGACACCACTCATCAATATGTGAGGGGGAAAGAATGAAAAAAAACAAAAACAGAACAAACAGAACAAGTGGGGCTTTGTAAAGCTATAGTACCTTTTGGTGACGAAGGATTCAAAAGAATGAGGACTGAAAAAGGCAGCATGAAAGGACTTCAGGGAGCTGCTGCTGCTGCTGCTGCTGCTGCTGTTGCTGTTGTATTCTTGGAATATAAGAAGAATTGCACATAGTTGCTAAAACAAGAATAAAAACAAAGTTCGACAGATCTAAGGTCCAGTGTCTCACTGTTCTTAAAAGCTACATTTGTGTACATCAAGTGCACTTTGCACAGTTCACTGGAGACAAAACAGGAAGAACACGACCTGACGTCCTCCCAGAAGCGATCATCCATCACATGTGAGCGGCGGCAGGAATCCAGACTGCTTAAGGCATGCATTCACAATAATGTAGAGCCACGACGTTGTTGTTTGGGCGACAGTCAAAGCAGTTTGCCTGTGGAGACTTCAGAACTCACAAAAGCTACAACATGATTTGGATTCAAGAACCAACATTAGCGCTGCGAGTTTACAGAATTTAAAGTGAATTCTGACTTGACTTTGTACTGAAATCTGGAAAAATAAAACAAACGGATGAACAGTGCAGCAGTTGTGCTTCAGATTTTACAGAGGCATTAGTTTCCCCAAAAAAAGCAACATTGACACTGTGTTGACACTTTTACAACACATTAGAAATCATTACCGTGATATAATGAAGGATATTTTCTGCCACCAGTATATGACACAACATGACGACTGTATGCAAAATCAGATAAAATAATAAAACTGCTGCACTGACTTGTTACATGAGATATACAAAAAAAAAAAACTTTAATAACCAATTTTGTTCATAATTCACTCCAACAGAAATTGTAATATGTTGAGATCACGTCATAATTAAAACACACTGAAGCTTCGTCCAGCTGTTGGACACGAGCAAAGAGAGAAAGTCTCTGATAGACATTTAAACACAGAAGCTGAATCAGGGTTTGATTTAAAACTCAGTTTGAATGAAAACGGACTTTAGTTGGACTCCCAGCTTCTCCTACAAACTATATTTTACACACACACACACACACACACACTCATACACACACTCACAGTAGATGTGCACGTTCAGATCCTCATGCACTCACATTGTCAAAAAGTGCTGCGTTGTGCACGTGTGTGTTGCTGCAATCTGCACTGACTGAAGGAGTCTCATGTCACTAATGTAACACTACAACATGTTTAAGGCAACAAAGAGAACAACGAAACAGACTGAAAAGAAAACATCAGATCTGCTGGGCGAGAAGCTGCAGGAAAACACGGATGTGAGTTTATACAGCAGCTGGTGCGTCACAGAAGCAGGTGAGCAGTTCATTCGCTTGCATGGCTGATTACTGTTGGTTGAGCTCCAGTTTCAGGACCGAGTTGAGATAAAGCTTGTACCAGTTCTGACCGCAGGAGGGCAGAGGAACTCGTGCTGCGGGAAAAACTGAGGCTCATCTGCAGATAAACCGTCCTCTGAATGCAAAGAGGAACCTCTCAGCTGTACGAGCCGACACAAGGTGGCAGCAGAGGGATGAAACAGTTTGAATTCAGGTTTAAACTTCCCAACACAAGGCACAAACATATTTCACAATAACGGTAATGACTGGTTGAGTGCCAAGAAAATAAATAAAGATGTTTAAAAAGATATGATCTCTATATCTTATTTTAATTTAACTTCTTGTTTTACCGGTGATACAGCTGAGAGGTTTCCCTAAGAACCCTTTATCAACACTTCCTGACTTTGCTGTAACAATATGCAGTAATCACAGTAACATCCTGCACACAGGAGTTTAAACTGGTTTTACTACTAAACCAGCCGCTGTGGTTGTACGTTCACCTCCTGATATCCAGCATGAACATGACAGCCGAGACACCGACACTCAGAACCGGACCACGCGAGTAAGAACTTATTTGGAGCAACACCACAAAAAAACAAAGGCCAGACTCAAAGGTCTGTTTGGGCTAAAATGATTTTCAAGGCATCACAGATGCAACAAATTGTTTTAAAAAAATGATTTTACCCAACTAAGAATCAAACATGTCCAGTCATGACTACTGTAAATGCTGTACAACGATCCAAAATACTTCTTTGAGGCACAGTGATGTTCACCCGTTCTGTCTGACTTTACCTGCGGGGACATGAGGTGAAATTAAAATTCTTATATTCGTTATAAGATATGATCCCTTTTTTTTCTCATTAGAGGACAAAGAAGCGCTCTTTGGAGGGCGGAGTTATCGTCCGTCCTCAGCGCGCCTCCGTCCACATGTGCTGACAGGTGAGTGCAGACAGGTGAAGGTGGGCGTGGCCACGATGTTTCACCGCCCGTTTCTTCCCTACTGCCGACTGTTGAAGCTGGAGTTGGCGCTGCTGCAGCTTTCCTCGTAAGTAGGTGGAGGCTCTGCAACACACACAGGAGATAAGTGAGATTCATGTGGTGATATGTTGAAGGATTATAGAGAAGGAATATTCACGTCAGTGCTTCAGCAGCTACATTTATTATACATTCAGTATTATGTGCAATACCAGAAGTTTACATCCACTGTATAAAAAGACACATAACCTTTTTTTTCTCACTGTCTGACATTAAATCAGACTAAACTCTTCCTGTTTCAGGTCCGTTAGGATTACCAACATTATTTCTATTTGCTAAACACCAGAAAAATGAGAGAGAGAATTTTTAATAGAATTTTTTTATGACTTTCTGTCAGAAGTTTACATCCACTAAGATGCCTTCAAACTATTTGGGAAAGTCCAAATGATGATGTCATGGCTTTGGAAGCTTTTGATAGGTTAATTGACAACATGTGAGTTAATTGGAGGCACACCTGTGGATGTATTTTAAGACACACCTCAAACACGCTGCTTCCTTTGACACAGTGTTTGTAAACTTCTGGTTTCAACTGTTTCCTCATCATGTGTAATATTAGTGTCCTACTTCAGCTTCATAGTCAATAATGGTTTTTATTTTTATATACTACTATATGCAATCTTATTTGCAGCGTTTGTATCCAAACAGGTTTTGTCTTTAAAAGGCACAGCTGTGGTTATTGTTGAATATATGAGTTGTTTATTATTATTATTATTGTCATTATCAGCTGGTGTTTATCCTGTTTTGAACCTCAGTCAGACTCATTACTGGATCCAACTGAGGTGAAAACTCAAAAGCATAAACTCACATAGTTGTTAATGTGTTTGTGTTTTTTTAAAGAACTAACCATGAGGGTAATCCCAACTGCTGTACTCCGGAGGGAGGATGAGGGAACAGGAGGTGGGAACTGGAGTGACGTCCCCCTCGGTGAAGAACGGTATGGTGGCTCCGGTGGAGACGCAGAACAGCGGCGCCGAGGCGTCGGGCCGCCGGTGGCTGGGAGGCAGCGCCGCCCCCGGAGCGTGGCTGAAGGCGCTGGGCGACATGGTGACCGGCTGGCCCGAGGGGTCCTGCTGGGAGTGGCTTTTGGTGGGGATCTCCTCGCTGGCGATGCCGGCGGCGCACAGCTCCTCATCCGGATCCTCTTCTGCTGGCGGGGCGCTGGGCGTCACCCCCGTGGCACTGGGAGCTATGGAGGCCCCGGAGCGGTCCGGACTGGTGGGCATCGGCCTCGACGGAGACAAGTTGACGGCGATGTTGCCGATGTAGATGGGCAGAGTGACGACTGCGTCTGGAGACTTTAGTGACACCTGGAACACAAACATGACTTAGTTTAGTTCTACATTTCTATTTTATTTGTCTATTTTATTTTTCAGTTTAAATCTCTTTTACCCTTTTTTTTAAAAACCTATTTTATTTATGTATGCATTTATTTACCATTTTTATTATAATTTTTTACAATTGCTTTAATGGTTTCACTCTATTTTCTTTTATTCAAATTTTCGAACTTCAGCCGATTTTTGTTCAACTTCTAATTATTAATGTGAGTAATATATTGAGATTTAATTTAATAATCCTGTTGCAGCTACATGGACAGTTTGCCCATGATGCTGTCCAATAGTAAGATAAAACCTAAAATTAGGAAAGAAAAATGAAGCCATTAACATTAACACTCATTTCCAGCTGCTGGTAATGTTTAGTTTTACAGTTAAAAGTTTTACAGAGACAGTGTAATTTGACCTCTGTTCTCAAATCAGGGAAAACAAAAGAATAAGGACCTTTATTTGACCCAAATGCTGCATAAAATTAGTTTATTCTGCAGTTGCTCTGTTTTTTATGCTGAAAATCGACAACAAAAAAGTGAAAAAATAAAGCAGATGAAGAACTCCAAGAGGAAAATCAGCCTAAATAACCACAAAAACATTCCTATAATAACTAATAGACCAACGGGACTCTAGAGTGAGCCTATAATGAGAGTGTATCATCAATAATTCAGCGGTTCTGAATCCGGAAACAATTAATACTGTATCACAGGATGTTATCTGCCAGCATGTGGAGAGCTGCTTTGTTGAAAGTGGACCAGAAGCATCAACAGCAAGACCTGAAATCTACGATTTTGGAAGCTAAACAGGCATTAACTGTCACATAAGATGCCATAAATACAAAGGTACCACCCACCTATGGTTTAATATCACACTGACCTGTATGAAATAGTCGATGTCTATGAGGCTGCAGCCGGCCAGAGCTGACTGAGGAAGAGGAGGAACGATGATCTGCTCCCTCCACTCTGCATGTTTTCCTGCCTTCACTCCGGCTCCCTCCACCTCAGCGATGGTCCGCAGGTCGAACACAGGCCGCTTGGTCTTATAGGTCACTTTCTGGTGTGACAAATATGCACAGACGTAAAAACGATGTGACAGAGGCTTCAAAGCTCGTCACGCACCTCCAACACCAGGCTTGGATCGAGAAAACCTCTATTATTGTCTATCTGCTGTTTATTTGCTGGAACGGCTCTGATTTGATTGAAACTTTTTTTATCATTAAACTGTGAATATTTATAACGGATTCTGTGGCATTTTAGCTAAACATATGAAATACTTTCTGAGCTACGATTTCTTAGAAATCTGCCCGTCCACTCACTTTCTGCCTGTTTTTTGTATGCATTGAAGTATGAGGCTGTTTGAACGACAATATCTGAGGAACTATTTAAGATAGAAACCTGAAATTTTCACAGTTATTTCTCATCACAACATTGATTCTAAATCTGCAATATTGGACAAGAAGATCAAAAAGTCTCAGTATAAAATAACCACAACCAAACACACAGATCTGTAGGGACAGCTAGATTTTTCTAGATCATTTTCATGCCTTGACATAGATTCAGGAGTAATTTAATGTACTTGTGTGAGCCAGATTTTAATAGAAAATTTATTCCCATGATTACTGTGGAAACGGTTTGATTCGATCTAAATGATTCTTTTGTTTTGGGTTCAGTTGAGAATAAACTTCAGCATCAAAGTCGCAAATTTTGTGCAGAAAGTTAAAGTGTGAGTCCACTTATTTATAAGTATATAAGTAGAAGGACGATGCATTGAGCTGAATATGTTAAAAAATGACTGAAAACGACGATGCTTATGTACAAAACTTGAAATAGATGTAATCCTGGGCAAGTAGGTGAAAGAGTCTCATTTTGGGTGAGTTATAATACGGGGAAAAAAAGGTCCCATTTTGAGCTCAGTAAAACAAAAAAAATGACAATGCAGAAGTCAACTTGTGGTATTTTCTAAACAACACGTAGCTGCATGTCACAATAATGTAAAACATATATAGATAATATTCTTTAAATTAAATACTTGAATTAAAACTAAACTTTAATAATTTACTGTTCAGGCATGACAAGTTGCAACCAAACACAAAAGTATCCCTGAATAGTCTAATCCAAGTAGTTCTGGAGTTTCAGTTTGGTTCTCAAAATATAATGAAGGAAGTATAAATATTTTTATTAATATGGGCACATTTTGTAATTTTAAGATCCAACTTTATAGACTGGAGAAATACAGTCAGCTGTTATACTCACTGCATAAAGTCCAGCTTGTGACTTTGGTCTTAAAGGCCAAACGTGTCAAAAGTGGGTCGAAATTTCTTACTAGGAAAGTTTTACATTTACACATATCCACAGTTTATGATATAAAAAGTATGAGGCAAATCAGAGATGGTTGAGCAGAAATTTTCCCCACAAAAATTGATGATCTGAGATGCAAAGACCCAATACTATTGAGACCCATTACATTTAGTTTCCTTTGAGAAATCTGCTAATAGATAGTTTAATAGGCGTAGAGAGGCTTGATGTGAACCCATATGAAGGAATTAGTTCTATTAATGGTTATGTTTGTGTAAACAGAGATTTATAAGATATCTCTAAAAGGTCATTACCCTCAGTGGCTGATCTCTTAACTGTATTATGTAAAGGGCAACAATTATGATGATCTGGGAGTTTGTGTTTGTGGTAATTATTATTTTTCCCCCCATTTTTCTTATTTTTTTATACTGCTTTCTGTAGAAAACAGCACCTAAAAGACAAATATAACCTAATGGAACAGGTTGTGTTGGAAGACAGCCTGATGTCTGCCGACTATCTCCAGTAACTGACCTGTATGAGACTGGCCAGCACACATCCGGTGTCTTTCCCAGACTTGTTGTGGATCTCGGTGGCCAACTTGATGACCTGACCGGGGATGTAGCCTCTCAGGTCGCTGCGAGCTTTCAGCATCAGCGTCCCCGTCTTCACCAGGAGGTAGCTGAACTTCTTCGTGGTCACGGCGAAACTTGAATGCTGCAGAATCAGAGTGGCGGGATTAGCGTTTGTTTGCATGTCGCTGCCGACGTGCCGGTCATTTATCCCTGCTCTGTTCTCAGTGTCAGGAAGCTGGCAGTCGTGATGGGAAGAGAGTGAATTATAAGAAGCAGGGAGTGAAGGAGGAAATGGATTACATCCTGCTCTGTCGTGAAATCAAATAAGCCTCGACTAAGACAAAGGTTGATCAAATAAAGAAATGCATCGCGGCGCTTCACATTCTGCCGCTTCCAGGTTTACTCAGAAGGAATCCGACTGGAAGGAGTAAATAAAAAGAGAGAAAACAGGAAAGTTTGTGAAGCAAACACTCACCTCAATGTCAGGCACCTCATTGAGGTTGAGCAGGTTGAGTAGGTAGAAGGGCCTCTGGGCTTTATAGTCCTTGGAGAAGCGAGGCGTGTCGATGGCCGCCCTCACGCGGTAAATAATCTTCCCAAAGGGTCCCTCAAAGGAAGTCGGGGCGGCAACTGAAGACAGAATTTGGACAAAAAGAAAGTAAAAAGGTGAGTCTGACACTGAGGAAAGATGCTGACGTTACAGGTGTGACGGTGGAAAGTGTGGAAAGTTTATAAAAAACTATTAAAACATGAACATTTTTTTATTAAAACAAACGATATTCAAAGAAAAAGAATTTTAAGTTACAACAAATCTCACAGCAGATTTGTTAAGTGAGTAAAAAAAACAACTAAAAGAAGCAGAAAAATAAACATTAAAAGACAGAAAAAGTCATGTGTGATTACTTGATTTTGTCCTTTTTTTCCCCACCAAATGGTTGGCCGATTAATCCTATGCGTCCTACTTTCAGGTAACTATTACTACCTTTAATTTTAAGTTTAAGTAAGGATTAGCCACACATGCTGCATCTTATTTTCCTCTCAACAGTCTCTGTGATGCAGATCTTTCATCGTTTCACATGATAATACTAAAAGATCTTTTATATTAGTCTGTAAATTAAGGCAAAAAATCTTTCTTATTTTGTTTTTACACACTTGTGTAGAAGAGATCGTCTGGAATCTGGCAACCATGGAACTGAATTAATCATTACTTTATTCACTCAAGTGTTAACAAACAGCAGCCTGCTTGCAGAGATGGTAAACCAGACATCATCAGAAAAGGTAAGTTAGTTTGAAATGCAGAACAATATAAATGTCC